TGACTGGGTGAGACTCCAACTCTAAATAAATAAATAAATAAATAAAAATTCATACTCCATAATTCTACCAGAACACAAACTCTCTCTTGATAGAATAAATGCTGTTATTTTACTTAATTTTTCTTTTTTAGTGTGAACTTAGTTTAGTAGTTTATTTCTACATATCTAAATTCTTAAGTATACTATATCATGTAGAGCATTGGTAAACATATTAAACTCCCAGATATTACCTTGTTACTTAATAACTCTTATAATTTTCTTTTGTTTAGTATGAAGATTAGGACTAGTCTACGTATATGCATATATACATACACTCATGTACTTTTTTATGTATGTGTCCTTAACATTTGATTTTTTTATGCGTGAATAAGAAAAGTATAACCATATATTGTGTATAATGTAGTAATTTGATATGCCTATACATTGTGAAATTATGATTAAAATTCTGTTAATGAACATGTCATTAAGCCTTTGTATTTGCCATTTCTGTGTTGTGTAAGGAGAACACAAGAACACATAATGCCTGTTATTTTACCAAATGTTCCAAGCATACAGTGCATAATTCTTTTTTTTCTTCTTTTTTTTTTTTTTGAGTTGGAGTTTCTCTCTGTTGCCCAGACTGGAGTGCAGTGGCTGCTCCCGGCCACCGCAGCCTCAACCTGCTGGGCTCCGGTGATTCTTCTGCCTCAGCCTTCCAGGTAGCTGGAACCACAGGCGCGCACTACCATGCCCGGCTAGTTTTTTTGATTTATCATTTTGACAAATGCTGCCATGAATATAGGGGTGCAGCTACTTCTTTGAGATATTGATTTTATTTCCTTTGCTTTCCCAAAATAGGAAAAGGATTTCTTTGTTATGTGGCAGTTTACTTTTATTTTTAAAAGAATGTGGATAATTATTTTTTTTTTTGAGTTGGAGTCTCACTCTGTCACCCAGATAAGTGCAGTGGCCACTCCCGGCCACCACAATCTCAACCTGCTGGGCTCCGGTGATCTTTCTGCCTCAACCTTCCAAGTAGCTGGGACTACAGGTGTGCGCTACCACGCTTGGCTAATTTTTTAATTGTAGAGATGCGGTCTCACCAAGTTGCACAGGTGAGTCTCGAACCCACAGGCTCAGGCAGTCCACTCACCTTGGCCTCCCAAAGTGCTGGGATTACAGGCTGAGCCACCGAGCCTGGCCGGATAATGATTTTTATAATGACTCTATCAATTGTAAACTGACCAACTGTATACAGGATTTCTTTTTCTTCAATTCTTATTAACAGAGCTCTCTCTTCTGGTTGATATTAGCCATTCTAACAGGTGTAAGATAATATGTCATCATGTGTTGATTTGAGATTAGTGACATCGTGTGCCATTTCATATAACTGTTGGCAATTTGTATGTCCTCATTTGATAAATAACAATTTATTTGGGGGCTATTTTTTACTCAAGTGATTATCATTTTCTTGTTTATGCATCAAGCATATGGTTTGTAGATGTTTTCTCTTGTCCTGTAAGACTTCTTTCTGTTCACTTTACTATGCAGAAGATTTTTGGTTTGATGTCTCCAAATTGTTTCTATTTACATTTATTCGTGTAGTCATTAAAAAAAATGACTAAGACCAAAATCAATATCAAGGATGTTTTTCAAATCCTTCTTAAGATTTTGTTTTATCAGTCATTGTCTCTGTCAACCAGGCAGGAGTGTGGTGGCTCAAGTAAGGCTCACTACAGCCTTGAGCCCCTTGGCTCAGTTGACCATGCCACCTCCATCTCGTCAGTACTGGGATTTCAGTTAGCTGAAAACTTTGATAATAGCTTGTCTGACTGTTTCTGTTTATCCTAGTTTGAGTTCAATAAACTTGTTGATTTCCCTATATTTCTTCATTTCATTTGAAAGTTTCTCAGACTTTTTTGCAATTTTCAGCTCCACAAATTCATGTTGTTGTACCCTTGAGTCATTTATCCTGATTCTTTCTTTGCTTTGGCATACTTTGTTTCAGTTTAGGTATTTGAAAAAGATACACGTCATAATGTTTATGAAGTTGCTTTGTCTAGATAATTGTGACGCCAATCACTAACTTAGAGATTCTAGGAGCCTCTCATACTTGTTCTTAGGATGTGTCTTCTCTGCATATTGGGACAAAAACTAGCCTTTGGGTAAAGTGCCACATGGCAGAAGTGTGAACTCATGCCTCTGTTGATATAAATCTTCTGTTTATTCCCTGAGGAAGAAATCAAGAGTTAGAAGGTTTCATCTGATTGCATCATAATATATTGTGAAGGAAGAGAGATTATGGTGGCAAAATTACTGAACTACCTCTTCCATGTCATTTTATTTAACATTGTGCTCACTAGGGATTGGGCAAAGTCTTAGCTGTTTTTTGAGTTCTTGAACAGGCAATGCGGTAAGTATTTTTTTTAGGTACATATATTTGTGAAGGAGTGGAAACCTCTGATTTCTACTTGCCATCATACTTATGTCCTTAGGAGGGTATATTATGTTTGATTTTTAAAGGATATTCAGCTGAGTATAATATGTAGAATACATTTTTATTTTCATGATTTTCAGCTGTGACTTCTCATTACACTGAGGGCCTTTTGCCAGAGAAGAGGATAGAAGAATCACTTACAAAGGTACCGATGGGAAGATATGGAAGGTTTGGCATTAAGAACCTACACTTAAAAAAATCTAGCCAGGCTCAGTGACTCAGCCTGTAATCCTGCATTTTGGGAGGCTGAGGTGAGTGGATTGCCTGAGCCCGCAGGTTCGAGACCCACTTGGGCAACTTGGCAAGACTGAATCTCTACAATAAATTAAAAAATTGGCTGGGCGTGGTAGCACACACCTGTGGTTCCAGCTACTTGGAAGGCTGAGGTGGAAGGATCGCCAGAGCCCAGCAGGTTGAGGCTGCGGTGGTTGGAAGCATGCCACTGCACTCCAGTCTGGGTGATGGAGTGAGACTCCAACACACACACACAAAAAGAAATCTTGGGAAAATGTGCATGAGGATAAAGGGCTGATAGGATGTTCTATTGCATATAACCATTACAAATGTAACAAGAGTGGGAAAGTCTTTCATCAGCACTCCAAATTTGTTATCCACCTGAGTATCTATATTTCTGAAATGGCTTCCAAACATGAATTTGGCAAAACATTTAACCAGTCCTCAAAATGTAGTCAACATCAAAAAAGTAGTTGAGGAAATGTACACAATATATGTGGAAAAGTGTTTAGGAAATCAGCTTATCTAAATAGACATGAAAGAATCCATAGGGGAGAGAGAGCAGTCAAATTGAAAAATGTGGCAAAGCCCTTAGCTATTACTCATGCCATTCACAACATCAGAAAATTTATAGTGGAGAGAAGCTGTATAAATGTGGAGAATGTGATAAAGCCTTTACTTGGTGTTCACATCTTATTCACCATCAGAGAGTCCATACTGCACATAAACCCTACAAATGTCAAGTATGCGAGAAAGCCTTTCATCAGTACTCACGTCTTATTCAACATCAAAGATACCATACTGGAGAGAAACCCTACAAATGTGAAGAATGTGGCAAAGCCTTTCACACTCATTCAGACCTTTCTCGACATACTATGATCCATACTGGAAAGAAACCGTACAAATGTGAAGAATGTGGGAAAGCCTTTCATTCTCGTTCAGACCTTGCTCGACATATGATGGTCCATACTGGAGAAAAACCCTGCAAATGTGAAGAATGTGGCAAAGCCTTTCGCTCTCATCGAGGATTTGCTAGACATATGATGATCCATCCTGGAGAGAAACCCTACATATGTGAAGAATGTGGCAAAGCTTTTCGCTCTCATCAAGGATTTGCTGGACATAAGACCATCCATACTGGAGAAAAACCATACAAGTGTGCAGAGTGTGGCAAAGCCTTTCACTCTCATGGAGAATTTGCTCGACATAAGATCATCCATACTGGAGAAAAACCATACAAATGTGAAGAATGTGGGAGAGGCTTTCTCTCTTATGGAGGATTTGTTGGACATAAAATCATCCATACTGGAGAGAAACCATTCAAATGTAAAGAATGTGGCAAAAGCTTTAGCTCTCATCAAGGATTTGCTGGACATAAGACCATCCATACTGGAGAGAAACCCTACAAATGTGAAGAATGTGGCAAACCCTTTCGTTGGCACTCAGGTCTTATTCGACATCACAGTATCCATACTAGAGAGAAACTCTATTAATGTGAAGAATGTGGCAAAACCTTGCACTCTTATTCGGGTTTAGTCATCATGTCAAGATCCATATTAGAAAGAAACCCTACAAATGTCAATAATGAGGTAAAGTCTTTTGGTCTCATATGACTTGCTGGACCTGCGTGTGAATCCATACTGAGGAGACACCATACACATGAGGTGAATGTGGCAAATCCTTTAGCTCTTGTTAAAATGATTGATATCTGAGCATCAACATTTATGAAAACCATATAGATGGGAACAACAGGACCAAGCTTTTCACTGTTATTCCAAGTTTTCACAACATCAGAATTTATACTCTAAATTTTCTGTATCTGTAATGACTAGAATATCATATATCAAAATATAAACTATAGACACATGGTAAAAAGTTTACAGATGTAACCTTTACTTAAACCACAGATCCTTTAAATATCCAAATGTAAAAACTGTCTAAAGACTTTAATCAGCTAAAACATTATTTAGCATTAGACTGTGTACATAGGAGAGAATCTACAAATTTAGAGATTGTGGACTGACCTTTCTTCAAAATATATGCCATAGGAAACACTGGTATTCAGCATGATGACTTTACATTGCATTATTTATGGAAACTTACATAATGAAATGTCAAATTATAATGAACATCAGATATTGAATGGCATTGAAAGATGGGTTTTTGTTTTTATTTTTAGAAAGCATAAATATATTCCTTGTATACTTTTGTATTTGCATTGACTGAATTTGAGGATAATTCAAAAGCAAATAATATTGATGTAACTCAACTCGCTTGATTCTATGACTTCATTCCTAGTATTTGTATAAAAGGATGGAGTAAATTGGTACATTCGAGCTATGAGAGGCCCTTTATAGTACATGACCAGCGGTTATCTCGTTATCTCATGGAGGATGAAGAACATTGACATGTACTCTCCAATAAAGGATCTGAGTGGAGAAGTTTTTTGTGGCTCACATTGAGCATTACTGGAAGTTCCGCATGAGGTGGGTGCTCAGGATAACATTTTTCCTCTGGAATAAATGACAAACTGAGTTTTAGAAATCAGTTGTCTTACTAGTTACATGTTAAGGAGAAAATGAGGCCAGACCATTAATATCTTGGTGCATTTTTATACTATCATAATTATAAGCCATAAGTGTAATTTGATATGGAATAAAAAAGTATTTTCATAGACATCAGAGCAAATAGAATAATACAAGAGTATAATTATAAGACATACCTTTCTTAATCCTGAACATTGTAAAAACTTTTATTATGCACACATTGTACTTCTTTTAGACGACCATGCATATAAAGACTTGCATAAGCCGGGCTCGGTGGCTCAGCCTGTAATCCCAGCGCTTTGGGAGGCTGAGGTGAGTGAATTGCCTGAGCCTGCGGGTTGAGACCTGCCTGGGCAACTTGGTGAGACCTCATCTCTAAAATAAAAATTAAAAAAATCAGCTGGGCATGGTAGTGCATTCCAGCTACTGGGAAGGCTGAGGCATAAGGATCACTGGAGCCCAGCAGGTCGAGGCTGCAGT